CCACATCCTAGGACAGTGACCTCCGTGGACTCCACAGGAATACTGTCCAGGAATTCCTCATGGCTTCGAATGCTCCTCAGCCTGGCCACCTCCTCCTGTAGCTCTCCCACCTGCTGCCTGAGAGATTCCACCAGCAGGCACCTTTCACAACGGTTGTCTCCCCCAGCCTGGAGATCACTCAGTGGGAATTGCAAGCCACAAATACAGCAAGACCACACCAGGACCTGGGTAGAGGCATCCATGCTCAGGTTCTCTGTCTGGATACAGGCACAGGTGGAGGAGACAGGAGAAGTACTGGCACAAGCGCTACGGGTCTTCATCACCATCAGTCACTCCCTCTGCTCAACTCCCTCTTCAACTCCCCTGTCTGCAGTCCCCTGGTCGCACTGCTCTGGCTTTTTAAAGCCTGCTTGCCTAGGTCAGACCTGCCCCCTTCTGAGTCACACAGGAAAAGGCTGAGCCTGAGGCTAATCAGAGGCAATCAAGGGAACAATGGCAGGCTCTCAGTCCCAACTGCCACAGAAGCTGAAACTGAAACTGCTAGCACTCACCTGGAATCAGACTCTCAATTCACACTTCAAACTGTAAAATTCAAACAGTCAGGCACAGGCACACACTCACACCACAGCTTGTACTCTCACCGGGAAAGGTGAGAGGTGGTGATAAAACCATTCCTTCAGTAGCCTTCCCTGGACCCACTATCTATCACCCAGTCACTAATATTCCCTTCCTGGGCAAGCTACTCAAGTAGGCAGTGGCGTTGCAATTCCAAGCTTTCTTGGAAGAAACAGATTATCTACACCCATTTCAATCTGGCTTCAGGCCTGGTTTTGGAACAGAAACCACCTTAGTTCTCCCTGGTAGATAACCTATGCCAGCGATAGAGACTGGGAGTGCGTCCCTGTTGATTCTCTTTGACCTCTCAGCAACTTTCAGTACCATCAACCCTGGTATCCTTCTGGAGCTCCTGGTGGAGTTGAGTATCGAAGGCACTATTTTGCAGTGGTTCTGGTCTTACCTGTTGGGATGCGTTCAGAAGGTGGAGCTAGGGGGGTGCTGCTCGACCCCATGGCGACTGTGCCGCAGGATCCCGAAAGGCTCCATCTTGTCCCCTATGCTGTTTAACATCTACGTGAAACTGCTGAGAGAGGTCATAAGGAGATTTAGAGGACGGCGTCATCAATATGCAGATGACACCCAACTCTATTTCTCTGTGACATTAGATCCACATGTGGTGACGACCAATCTGAACTGGTGTCTGGAGGCAGTGATAAACTGGATGAGGTCAAATAAGCTGAAGCTGAATCCAGATAAGATTGAGGTCCTGTGGATCAGGAAGCCATCTGTCCGGGAACACGGTGTGTTACCTGTTCTGGATGGGGTTATACTTCCACTGAAAGAAGAGCTACACAGCTTGGGAGTCCTCCTGGACCTTTTTCTAGCATTTGAGAACCAGATTTCATCAGTGGCCAGGAGTGCTTTTGGGCAACTTTGGCTGATCTGCCAGCTGTCATACTTCCTGAAAAAGAATGAGCTGGCTATGGTGATTTATGCTCTTGTCACATCCCAATTGGACTATTGCAATGTGCTCTCTGTAGGGCTGCCTTTGAAGAGTCTTCCGACTCTTCAAACTAATCCAGAATGCAGCTGCTTGAGTTGTAGCTAACACTTGTTATACAGAGCACATCATGCTGGTGCTCTGGCAGCTGCCCTGGCTTCCAGTATGTTTCTAGGCACAGTTCAAGGTCTTAGTTATGACTTACAAAGCCCTAAATGGGTTGGGACCAGGGTATTTGAAAGACCATCTCCTCCCAAACCAACCTGCCCAGGGATTGAGGTCAGCTGGGGAGGCTCTGCTCTGTGTTCCTCCGCTTATGGAGGGAGATAAGACTGACATCTACATGGAGGAGAGCCTTCTCAGCCTTTTCCCCCAAGCTATAGAATTCTCCCCCCATCTCCCCCTGACATTTGCCTGGTGCCAACACTGGCACTGTTTTGGTGCCAGGCTAACGCCACCTTTTACCTGTGCTTTTATTAGTGTTTGAGTTTGTGTATGTATGTGTGTCCCTCCTCCTGAGGTGTCTTGGCAGATTTTATGTCCGTCCCCCCCGCCTTGGGGTTTTGTATTTTATTCTTATATTTATTGTGTTTTAAAACTTTTGTAAGCTGCCTTAAATATTTTAAATAGAGAGGCGGGGTAAAAATATTTAAAATGAATGAATGAATAAATAAATAAATGAAATATAAAAGGGCTGCCAGTTAAATACTGTTCCCTTTTTGTCTTCTTCTAAAATACAGGCAATGATAATTGCATTTACATCTGATATGATTCCTCGTTTGGTTTATTACTGGTCCTTTTCAGTCCCTCCCCATGGGGATCACAGCAGTTACACCATGCAGGGGTATATCAACAATACACTTTCTGTCTTCAATATATCGGACTTCAAAAGTGAAAGCAAACCAGTTCCACTTCCCTGGTTTGGCAACCAAACAACATGCAGGCAAGTGTCAAATCATTTTTCTTTGTCATTGGAAAGGAAACCATAATAAAATATCCTAATTTTCTTTATAAAAATCTCTTTAATAATGTTAAGATTCAGATAAGCTCAAGGACAGTCAAAAAGTAAAATAAAGAATTGAATTTTCTGAACCTTAGATTCATTTTATTTCCCCCAATAATTAATAATGCATTATTCAAAACAATATAAAGGTGAGTTAAATGTATTTTTGGTATAGTGGAAAAATGTATTTCAATAGGTTCAGCTTATTCTGTAGATGTAAAATTTACCCATTGTTTTAGTTGCATACATGACTCTAGGCTGTGTTAAATGTGACACATTTTGCTCCATCCCCTGGCTATAGTGCGTTACTGCAGAGGTTGCTGAAATTACTTTTTTGACTTTTCTAAACTGTCATTAGATATCGTGATTTCCGATATCCTCCTGGGCACCAATATCAGTATGAACACAACATATATTACTGGCACGTGATTGCAGCCAAACTGTCTTTCATCATTGTCATGGAGGTTAGTACATTTTGTGGTTGATTTTTTTTTTAAATTTAGGCTTCCCCTTGATCAAAAAAATCAATTTGAAATTAATTCTATATTTTTCATTCAAAATTGTTGTTCATTTTATTTTGTGAAGAATGTTGAATATTATAGGCTACATCCTCAACTAGTATAAATCAGCCTATCTTCATTTAAAATCAGTTTACACTGGTGGAGGATTTGACCCTATGCATTTAGCAGCTCCTTAGTTTGGGAACTTAAAATACTGTCAGAGAAATTCTGTATGTTAGAATGAGGAAAAAAACATTGCTCTAATTAATGTGTGTATATAGCTGTTGGATTAGTGTGTATGTGTAGGGTTGCCAGATACTTTCAGAAAAAATACCGAACATGGTGGGTGGGAGGGAAATTGGTTGAGCAAAAAAAAAATCCCCTCACTGTACCTTTAAATCCCCTTGCTCGCCGCTGCCCCCGCCCCGGCCAGATGCAGCAGGGGAGGAATGTCTGAAGCAGCCTTCTGTCCAAGAAAAACAAAAAATACCAGACATTTTCCATGTCTGGTATTTTCTAGTGTGTTTTTTTTTTACCAGACAGAGGCCGCAAATACCGGACTGTCTGGGCCAATACCGGACACCTGGCAATTGTGTGTGTGTGTGTGTGTGTGTGTGTGTGTGTGTGTGTGTGTGTGTGTGTGCGCGCGCGCGCACATCCATACACAGAATTATATGTGTAAAATAATCAATGATAAATATTAGTCTTGTAATACTTCCTGTCAGGTAAAAATCAGTATAGCCACATTATCCTCCATTACTTGGAGCATAGCACAATGCTCAAATCTAGAGCTAAAACTGAAGTGGGGGGCAAAAGAGCTGCTCTGCATCACTATAGATCTACATCGGCAGTTTTAGCTGGGACAGGAGCAACAGAGAAGCTGCATGGTCCACAAGTGTGAAGATAATCCAGCATTGTCTGCCTCAGTCATTCAAAAATCATGAGCTCTGCCCCCAGAAATCCATGTAATTTACTTGAAAACTCTTTATATAATAAAAAATGTTAGGTTCTTTTTATTTTCTGTCTAGATTTTGAGCCTTTAGATTTTTCATTTTCAAGCTTTTCTTTCTAATAATGACAGGTTAAAACCTACTCTTTTTTATAAAAAAAAAAAAAAAGAGGAAATGCAAAGATTTTGACATAAATCCCAAGCTACTGGAGCCAGGTGATTTAAGAAAAACTTAAATATCTTGAGACTTGCAATAAAATCATGAGCTGCAAATCTGAAGGGGAAGGGTAAATAGTTAAAAGCATAGGCAGAGCACACTTTTAGTAGTAATAGTAATTTATAGAGTATGTTTATAGCGTATGAGTAATTTATAGAGTAATTTTCATCTGCCAGTTTATAGACAGACATAACTCCACAGAGTGCTCTGTCTGATCTAGCAGCTAAAGAGGTATTATTATCCCAATTTGAAAATGGTGGTTCTGAGTCAAAGAGCTTGAATGACTTCTGGACTCTGACCTCTCCCACAGTGCAAGAGAGTTGGGCTGTCCCTCTCTTTGAACAAATTCTGGAGTAAATTCAGACTGGTCCTTCCAATTCTAGGATTCGGCCACAATCCTGCCCTTTCTCCAGTGTCTCGGCCACTTGCTGACTGCGAGGTGGCTGGTGGGCAGTGATCACTAGTTACTTACACTAAACATAACTGTCCCCACCTTTGTTCTTTGCACACCGACACCTACTCATTGTTTTATCATATATTTATACTGTAAACACTTCCAGGCAAGGGACTGTTCTTTTGTTACACATGTACCATGCCTTGCATGTTGATACCCCTAAGTACAACTAAATGCAAATAATAAAAGGTCAGAGTCCATTCAACACACTCCCTGGGACCATTTTAGGCGGAATGGCTATTACCTATCACTGAAGATCTGTAAAGCTGCCACCTAGTCATCTACCAATATTTCAGTAAAACAAGTACGGGTTTGGCTTTTATTCCTCAGAAGCATCTTTCCAAAAAAAGGTGTTCCAAGCTGTTGCTTCAACATAGTCTAATATTATTAAGTTTAGGGAACAGGAAACATTTTTTTCTGTTCCCTCTTTCCCCCTCTGCCCCCCACCCCTTTAATTTTTCTTAATGCCCATCACAACTCAAATGTCTCAGGGAGAGGGTAGGATCCAGATTATAAACTATTACATGATGATTTCCTTTCTGGGACTGACTTGCTTCTTAGTGTACCTCATCTAAGTCTATTGGGTGGCCTCCTCTGTATCCATATACAGAACGGAATAAAACACTGCTGCTCCTAAATTTCTGCTTATAAGAAACTTGTGTTTCCATAGAGCTTTGATGTACTGCATTGGGGAAGTCATCTGAGAAAAGGTGGAGGCTTTTGTTGCAGCCAGATAGGAGGCATCTCGGGAGTTATGAAGCAATTCAGGATTGTGGGAGGAGCAAACTAGTTAAATGTTCCAGTATAAAATTCATCAGGGGCTTTGATCCAAAGCCCATTGAAGTCAATAGAAAGACTTCTACTGACTTTGGTGGTGGTTGGATCAGAATCCAGGAAGGATGTCAGAGGAGATGTAACCAAGTCCAGCAGTCATCTGGGCAAGTTTGAACCAGCTCCAATATTTTAAGGAAGAGGGACTCAACCCAGATGTTTCACCTGGGGTGTGTCTAGACTACATGCCTCCTTCGACGGAGGCATGTAGATTAGCCAGATCGGAAGGGGGAAATGAAGCCGCGATTAAAATAATCGCGGCTTCATTTAAATTTAAATGGCTGCCCCGATCTGCCGATCAGCTGTTTGTCGGCAGATCGGGGGAGTCTGGACGCGATGCCCCGACAAAGAAGCCTTTCTTCATCGACACAGGTAAGCCTCGTGAAACCAGGTTTACCTGTGTCGATGAAGAAAGGCTTCTTTGTCGGGGCATCGCGTCCAGACTCCCCCC